GCTGGAGTTCAAGGAGTCTTCCTGGGAACAGCTGAATAATTACAGTGGATGGGAGGAGGGAGGGAGGGAGGGAGGGAGGGAGGAAGGAAGGAAGGAAGGAAGGAAGGAAGGAAGGAAGGAAGGAAGGAAGGGAGGAGAGAAAGAGAGAAACTGATTTTAAATAGCTGTAGGGCTACCAGCCCACAGTGCTCTATCTAGCCCACATATCCGTTCATGGAAGTAAAAACAATCAGAGAACAAGACATTGTTCTGGGTTTTCTATGATGGGCAACTAAACAAACTTATCACAGGGCCATTTCCCTAGCCCTCCTATGCTAGTGTGCCTTACACTTTACACTTAAAAGCTTTCATTGAACTTCGTCTTTTCAGCTGCCTCAACCGATGACAAGACCAAACACCATTACACCTCTTCAAGACGATTGAACACAACTTTGTAAAGTTTTAACACTCAAGTTTAAATTTCAGTAGCAGTGTGATCACTTCTAAATTTTAAGTTGTAGTAATAAAGTTAATTGTAAACTAACATGAGAAGAACTCTATGTCCGTTTCATTATGTTGTGATCAGTACTCAACAGCCCTCTGTAATGAAAGGCCACTGAACATGGGGACTTAGAGATACTTGCCTTGGAAGGGATATTAGAGGAAACACATTTTAATAAAATAACAATTGATAATAATGATGATAATAACTAAGGAATCTGGTACAACACCTACCTACTCTATAGTCAGGACCCTGGAAACCCTCTTCACAGAGGAAGCTTGAATTTAGCTAAGAGAACTGGATGTCCACATAAGATGTTGTTCCCAAATACGAAGGTGATCTCACAGGATCCTCACAGAACACCATCCCTGACCTCAGTAGTTGTATGAGAGGAGGTCACCCTCGCTCCTTCTTCAAACCGCAGAGATGTCAGCAGATCACCCCTTCCCCCAGGGGTTCAGGAGAGGGTCTCTTTCTTGCCTTTTCTAAGCAATAGCCTTCCGGGCTATCCTTGGTTCCTTGTCCTCTTCCACCATTTCCAAACCCAGCAATGGAGCACCTTCTTCTCTGTAGTTAAATTGCCCTTGTCCTTCTTGTGAGGTCACTTCAGTTATACCAAAGGATTAGAGATGATCTTCTCTTGTCAATACCCTGAACTTAATCACATCTTCAGTCTCTCTTGCTATGTGAGTGAATACTCACAGGCTCCAGAGATAAGCATCTTTAGGAACCATGGTTCAGCTTGCCATGCCCTCCACAGCACCTGGCCCCGTGAATAAAGCTGACTGGAATCCAGTGGAATCTATCACCAAGAACCACCATAGCCAGTGCCACATGAGACAGCACAGTAATTCATCTTAACCAACCCACATTCCTGATCCACAAGATCATGAGGTATAATAAAATATTGGCCGATGTAAGCAGGGGTGACTTGCAGCACAGACCACTGAAACAGTATGCTTGGGTTTGGGTTATCCATCCCATTCCCGATATACAGGTTAGTCTTGCGAGAGAAGTGTCTGTCTTCGTGTTGGCTGTCCGGCCAAGACTCTCAGAGGACTGTTCCAGCTTCTTCCATCAGAGCAGTTTGAGGAAAACACCCAAGGAAGAAAAAGGAGTTACTACCTTTGAATGGAATTGGTTCTGAGTAGGTGAAAACACTCCTGAACAGCTTCCCCATTTCCTCTCCAGACTTTGCACTCTCTGCTTCATCTGTCCCCTCGAAATCTGAAGGAAGGCCTTGCTTTCAGGGTGGAGTGGGAAATTGTGAGTCTGACAAGAAGAAAATCAGCCCCCTTCTTACTTCGGTCTCTGCTTTGTGGTCAGGGAGGACTTGACTACATACCCACCTGCCCACCAGCCACCCCAGGGTGGTTCTTCCCACCCCCTAACCCCACTGGTTGTCTAGATAGTTTTTGCTCTTCCTCTGTCACCATGGGAACAAGATGTGCTCTCTGATTTTATTGTTTGGGAGACTGAGATCCCTGATGCTGATCCCCAAACATGCTGTGTTAATAAACGTTCCTAGACAATTGAAAGCACTCAAGAGCCCATTTACAACTACAAAGGACTTTCCAGATGAAATGCCACTTGTTTACTGGGGCTTGACTAGAGACATTTCTTTTCCTGGAATGCACACTTCATTTCTTCATGAGCACAGACTACTCATTTCATTACAGAGACACATGTCCCTGGGAGTGGAAGAAAAAGGGACACCAGCATGGAAGGATGTCATCACAGCCTAACTCAGGACACTGGAGGGATCACAGTGCCCATTGCCCTCTGTGCTGGAGCCAAAGCCAATCCTCTAGGCCCCTTCAGACTCTCAGCTGACACTGATTAAGGTCAACTCCTACCAAAGAATTTTCATTTTATTGGATAATTTTGGAAAACTCCCTCAAAATAGTGGATATAATTTACCAGTGGACTTGTGGAGGGGCAGAGAATTTGAGGATGAGCATGTGAAAGTACTCATTATGGAATAAAGAAATGGGGACATCCCCACCGCCAAGCTCAGCACTACAGACTTACACACAGTCTTTGCTGCACGTCTATGGCCTTAAACAACCCATGTACTGTTTCAAAGTGAAAGATCAGAACCAGACCACAAAATCATCTTGGTTGGTGACTTTTAGTAATGTCCACCAAGATCAGAGGGGTCCAGAGTGGGGGACAAGTAACTTCCTGTCTATCTCCTCTAGACATGCCTCAATTTTGCCTGAAGCAAATTTTTTGTTTGCTTGTTTGTTGGAGGATTGAGGGGTGTTTGGGGGGGGTTATTTATTATTATTTTGAGGGGTTTGTTGTTTTTGCTTTGAATCAGGGTCTCATTGTGTAGTCCTGGCTGGTTTGGAACTCTCTGTAAGACCAGGTCGGTCTCGAACTCAGAGATCTGGATGCTCTTCCCCTCAAGTGCTAAGAGTCAGTCACAGAAGAGCTCTAGGAGTAAACAATATTAGGCTGGCCATTCATCTTGCTTTCTTTAGGGCTGAAGTCTTCCCAGGAGACTGGATTTGTAGTTGTAAAATGGAAAGTTCCTGAAAACTGGGACAATTTTTGTCCAGCCCTGCAATGCTAGCCTGATGGGTAGAAAATGGAAAATGAATACCATGCATGGAATTACAACTGTGAGACATGGACAGAACAAGATAAAAAGGGCAGGAGAAAGCTGTAATTATTTCAACAGTTTCCAAAAGAGACACCAAGGTTGATATTAAAAGAATCAGTAGCAGTAGCTAATAATACAAGAGATTATTAATAATAAAGTTTCCTGGGAGAACTTACAAACATGTGATAAAACTTGATGCCCAGCCCATGGAAGCAGTACAGCCAATTTCAGTAATTCTGTGTTGCTCCCCAAGGATAATGGACAGCCATTGCAAGATTTAATAAGGAGAAGAAAGTTCACATACCTTCAGGTTTCACCACAGGCCTCACTGCCAAGTTGTCCATCTGCTGAGAGCACCAACTCTACTCTGCACTGGCTCCCAACCAAAATTCCTTTCAGACACCAAGGACCAAGCCACTCTTTCTGCTATCCACAAATGGAAATGTGCATGGAAATCAGCCAATCTTCAATAACTAGTGATGGGTACATGTAAACAATCCCCACACACTTTCACAGCTATTTGAGAATGCCCTGGAATCTAGCCATACCCCCAGCCATGGGAGAATGGCTAGCCTCCTGTAGCCATGTCTACTCAGCTTTCTAGAACTCTCTATGATTCTTTTGTCCTCATCCTTTGGAGGTATGTCAATCTGAAGGAGACTTGAGTTCATAAGCTGTCATTTCTCAAACGGTGAGCCCAGAATGACAGTGTTTGACTAATCATAAAAGCCAGCTTCTAGGTCCCACCCAGACCTGCTGAATTAGAACCTCTCCAGTGGGGGCTGGGCACTCATGATTCTGATGCACATGGAGGTTGAGAAACGCTGTCCTAGGCGAAGCATGGTCCCTGAGCCCCCATGTCACACTAGGGTCTCTTGCCTCCTCACAGACCATGAGAAGTAGCCAGGTGTGGTGGCACGGATGGATCTGTTAAGTCAGAAGGAGTTAGAAGTAAAAGGATCAAGCATTCAAGGTCAGCCTTGGCTATAGTAAGAATTAGGTACCAATCTGGGCTACCTAGGAACCTGTCTGGGGGAAAAAATAATAACAACAAAAAAACAAAACAAAAATCCTGACCTTGAAAAGTTGTGAGTATTCCAAATCCAGACTCCTCCCTGCCTCAGGACCCGTTCCCCTCACCTGTGGACTAGGTTGCTCATTGGCCTCACTGCAGGTCAGATGTCTCCACCCAGCCTTCTCAAATGGCCAAGATTCTGCATTTAATCTGTTAACAATAGCCCACATTCCCTCTATCCCTTGAGCCTCTCTCCCTGCCTCCCCCATTCTAACCTCAAGTTAGTGATTGCTTCTTCCAACTTATCCTTAGATTGCGAAGATGCATCCTGGCAAGCCACATCACCGTCTCTAGTCAGGAGTTGGCCCCAGAGCATCCTCTTCCCCTTCCCTTCCTTCCTTCCTCTCTCCTTTCCTTCATCCCTTTCTTCCTTGGTTCCTTCTGTCTCCCTCCTCCTCCTCTCTTCCTTCCCTCTGTCCCCCTCCCTCCCTTCTTCCCTCCTTGCTTCCCACCCTTTTTTCTATCCCTCCCATTCTTGTTCCTTCAAGCCTTTCTTCCTTCCTTCTTGCTCCTCACCTTTCCTGCCTCCTGCACCCTGTGTTAGCTGCCTCCCTATGAGACCCTCCTGAGCAGCTTCCATCCTCAGGCTCAGCCCATTTTATGAACTTCAGGAGGAACCCTGGGCATAAACAGAGCTGTGACAATGCTTATTCCCAGCAGGGGACCCCCAGCTGTCACTCAGAGCCACTGTGGAGTGTGGTAAGCCTCCAGACCAAACACTGGGATCCTAACACTGCCGCTTCCTCCTCCTCCTCTTCTTCCTCCTCTTCCTCCTCCTCTTCCTCCTCCTCTTCCTCCTCCTCTTCCTCCTCCTCCTTTTCCTAGAGACAGTCTTTCAATATCTGTAGACAATTACCACCTCCTCCCCAGGCTTCTTGTCACCAAGCCATAAATCAAAACCATCACTTTTCTCACCACGTGCTGGTGTTTTGTGTGTATATAGCTCCTGTCCTGCTCCTCAGCTGCTCAGATTTTTCGTTGTCTCTTCAAATGTCTGGCTGAAATCATTGCCAGGGCTGGGCATCACTGTAACTCAGCCTCAGTGCACCTCCTGGTTGTCGCCACACACATATTACTTGGGGAAGCGGGCTTTTTCCCCACTAGGGCCAATCACTGTTTGGAGATGTGCCAAATACGACCAACCACCGTAGTTTTTTAAGGAACCTTGCAAAATAAACATAAATAGCGGTTTTACCCCAAGCACTCAGAATTTTCAGAAGGTAGCAGGGGCCCTCTGAAGGAACCCGGGGCTCTTGAAACTTTGGAGTCACTCTTCTGATTGGCCATCGCTAATGCACCACTGACCTTGCTTTTAAAAGCAAACAAACAAATTGACACTGAACTGTGGAAGTGCTTTCTGTCTCCGATAACCAGTTATCAACTCATGGAGACTGTCTTTGGTATATACGCAGAAAATGAGATTAAACTATTTCCTCTTTGCGCCATCTCCCAGAATTAGAGAGCTTTCCAAACCCTCACAGTATTTTAATGCAGAATTTCAAATATAAATACAAATAGGGAAACAGTAATTACACATCTTACTTCATCCAAATAGTATTATGGAAAAATACCCTTTTAAAAGTTTGAAAATGTTTTGACTAGATGGAAATATACCTCAACGAAAGCAAAGAGGTTACTTTGAAATCGGTTTTTTGGTTTGTTTGTTTGTTCTTGTTTTTACAATTGATCCTTGGGACTTTCTGCTGGTAATCATTTTTAGATGTATCTGTAACACAGAGGTCCATTTCCTTTCTCTTTCCTTATCCCAAACAACCAAATACTGAAATTGACATAAAAGGAGAATCCTACAAGGTAGAAAGATGAGAGTTCTGTGGTTTGGGGTCCCAGAAGGAGAAACATCAAGAGCCACAGGGTGTCTTAAGCCCTACTCAATGTGACCAGGCACCCCATGGGGCTCTGACTACATCAGAACAGAAGACAGCCCAGACAGCCCCTGGTCCTCCACCAGAGTGAGTAGGAGTCAGTCAAAAGGAGAAAATGACCACCCTTTGCTTTACAGAGACGCGTGAGAGCATGCATCCCAGAGACCTGGCAACACTCAGCCACCCAAAAGATGGCTTCCTACCCTGCAGGCTTTAGCCTCCTTAGCCCAAGCACTACCGGCAACAAATGGCCACAAACTGCTGCCAGATCCCAGTGGAAAACCCCAAAGAAGATGAACAGGGGAGGCCCACCTGGGAAGCCCCTCTGCCAGCCCCAGAAGACCTAAGCGACAGGCTTAGTGTATGATCAAGCAGACAACAGAAAAAGAAAAGGCTCTACACATCAAATGCCCATCAGAAACAGCCCGCCTAGGCAAAGTCCGAGAACTTACCTTTTAGAGCGAGTCTGGCACTACATGAGATGGAAATAAGAACCAGAGCCCTTAACACCATCCTGGAAATACCTAAGCTATCGGAGAAACTGCCTATTATGTAGAGGAAATCACAACATGAACGAGACAAGACAGCCCTCCACAAACACAGGGTTGGGGTCATCTGGAAGGATTTTACACCAACTGTCATAGAACCACTTCAGCAACCAATTACATATTCTGAGAGAGAAAGAGAGAGAGAGAGAGAGAGAGAGAGAGAGAGAGAGAGAGAGAGAGAGAGAGAGAGATACAAACCTGCATCCTAATTGCCAAGGAATCCAAGAACAGAATTACCTGGTTTGGTAATATTAGCTCTCAGTTTTTGACATAGGTGTCAGATGAACGAAAGCCAAATCTTGAGACCTTTGTCCAGAAGTTCCAGATTCCAGAAGTGCTACCTTCTGAGTGGCACAAGGGGAAGGGAAATCTTGAGTGGTGGGTAATGGATTAGTTTCTAGAAGAAAAGAGAAAACCAACAGACTGAGCTTCCGTCTATAGGTTTTCAAACATTTTACCTTGGACAGTGGTCCCTGTAGTGTGAGATGCCTGAACAGCAGCAGGGTCCCAGCCCCAAGTCAGTGCATTGGTTCGGTCTGAAGTGTCCACCACAGGCTATTGGGTTTGAACACATGGCACCCAGTTGGTTAAGGTTGTACGAACTTGGTAGCAGTGGTGGATGGCTGGTGGTAGGCCTTGAAGTCATGTCTGCAGCTAGTGGTATTTTAGTCCAGTTACAATGTAAAAGGCAGCACCCAAAAACTCCCAACTGCCACAGCGGGAGCAGCTCCTGCCAATCCCCCTTCCCCACCATGGCAGCCTCCATTCTCTGAAACCAGGAGCCAGAGTGAAGCCTTCTCCTCTTGAGTTGCTGGTATTGTCTCACTAGGATGACAAAAGTGAATGACAGTAACTGATCCTGACGTTGTGTCAGCCCTGCACCTTGTGCTCAGATGGTCAGCAAGTTTCCCAAGGGATACCAAAGTCTGCAGCTTCATTCATGAGAATCAAGCTTGAAAACCAGTCACTCTGGGGTGTACCCTGTGAGGTCTAAGAGCAAGATAGCTCAGTAACCCTCCCCAGGGCCATCACAATAATGTACAAAACACTTCCAAAGGCTAGAAAAAAAAAACCACAAAGAAATGATTAATATTTGGGATGATGGAAATACTGAATCTGATTCAAGCACGTGTAATATATGCAATGTATCCAAATATCCCATTACTCCATTAATACATATAATTGTATGCATTTATGTACCAGTTCAAAACAAGTTTTAAAAAACCTGGATGAGTGAAAAACCACTCAAAGACATTACTGATGTGTCATTAAAACATGAACTATATGAGCCCAAAAGAAAAACACAGCAACCTCAAAAATAATGCAGTATGTTTTTTTCTCTTGCTCTCTTAAAATTACCCTCATTTGTTTCCTAGTCTACCAATGAGATACACCAGGTGTGGGGACTGGGCTTCAGTCTTGCCCTAAACAACTGGCTAGCCTTTTAGAAGATGCCTGCTCTGAATTCATCTCTATAGCTCCCCAAACCACAAACACAGAGAGCTGTCAACAAAACAATCCACTTGCATTTCCATTCATTGATTTAAGTAGTAATGGGAAAGGATGCTGCCAAACTACTTTAGAGACTCAAAATACAGCCTGTCCGCCCTGTCCCCATTCCCATTTATCCTTTCACAAATTATTCTTTTCTTTTAAGGAAAAAAAAAGTGAGGGCTCTTATTGATAATCAGTTTTCCGTGAAGGTGCATTGTCAGAGAGCAAGATGCTCCTAAGTAGCGCATTTCCAATCTGATCGGGCTTGTTTTGTCTGGCAAATGAATTATGTAAACCTTATCCACCAGAAACTGTTTCAAGTCAATTAATTGTTGTAATTACTTAAGATTTCTTTTTAATGAATATGGCTCTCCAGGGATTCGGTGATATCCTGTCATCTGTAGGGCCTGATAAATGAAATGTGATTTGTGGCTCACTGCAAACTGAACCCTCATACATGGGCAATGTCTGCGTCCTGCGTGCTCGTTAAATGGAAGTGATGCCCTTGACGGAAGCAGGGACATTCATTATGGATAGTTCCCAGTTAGCTTGAAAGTGAAGGGACAAATGGGCTGCACTCACCCTTCCCACTCTCCTTCTCTCTTCAGTCCCTCTGGAAAGGAATTAAGCAAGTCCATGACCTCAGCAAAGCCACACATCATGTCACTATCGGTCTCATCGTTCCATCTCCCATCTCCATTAGATTCAATAAATTGAGGTCTCAGGCAGCTATTTGGGATGGAACTGGAAGCTAATACAAGAAAATGAAGGATTAGCTTTCCAATCTTTCTCCTCTTGCTCTCCCTCTCCTTCTCCCCCACTCCCACCCCATCCCCACCTCTCTTACCATTTTAAGAAATCATCTCTCTAAGAATTGACAAAATCGGATTTCTTGTCTCTTTCATAGATGTCCCATTTCCAAGTGGTTAATAAACTACATTGTACCAAAGCACAAGTGTTCTGTAAAAACAACATTCTAATCTTCTGAAATATAAGCATATCTACTCTAGCAGGCCAAACTCTGTATAAAGAGCACTTCTTAACAAATCATTCATCTTCTGTGATATTATTTTTGCCCAGCAAACCAGACAGTCCATGTCAACAAAATGGTGTGTTTTTTCTGGGACAATTCCACATCATAGAGAGTGTAATCATGAAAAAATTTCTAGTCAAACTTTTCAGGGAACTAACATAAAAATTAACAGATCCACAAAAGTATAATAGAAATGGAATCTTCATTATCGATGCAAATAACTGATTCACCACTGAAATCACTTCTATGGAAATTACTGCAAATAAAATGCATTTGACCTTTGAACTCTATTGTTTTGATGAATTTTTTACTAAATCATGAGAAACTGGTTGTGATGTAAACCTATGAGACATGTCAACTAGAATTATTCTGCAAAATAGCCCATTGTGATTAAAGTAGTGTTTGTTGAATGAAAGCAAATTAAAATTCCACCCCCTTTATTCATTTCTCTGCAAATTCAATACCTCTGAACTCAGTTTGTTGCATCATAGACAAGAAAACACTGATTTTTAAAACTGTAAGACTTTTCATACTGTAATTTTCATCATCCTAATGTCCTAAGTCTAGAAAATTTTAAGAATATCAAAAGTTTTGAAATTCAGAAATATATTAAAGTACTCATTCAGTGGATAAATGTTTTTGGTGGATGATAAATATCTAAGCATTTGGGGGTGACAGAAATGACACAGTGATCAAGGGCATTCACTGATCTTCCAATGGACGTGAGTTCGGTTCCCAGCACCCATGTCAGGCAGCATGCCACTATCTTTAACTCCAGCTCTAAGAGATTCGACACTTCAGGCCTCCAAGGACACCTGTACTCATGGTCACATAACCACATGCAAACAGATACTTAAAAATGATAAAAATAAATCTTCAAAAAAGAGAGAGAAAGAGGCACTTGGCTGGACCTTTTAGTCACATGGTTGGCCATCACATTGTCAGACCATTTGATGACCATTTACCACATGCACTGTCCTCCTCGGTGCTTCACCAACAAACCATAGTCCTAGCCTCACAAACTCAGAGCTTTCCCCTCCTTTGAATGATGGAGCAGCAAGAGGACAGAAATAGAGTCAGTTTGTTCCCTCTGTCACAGGAGCTCCCAGATGCCTGGACCTGATCTCTGCTAATCCATGTATACCAGGTTTATTATTTATCACCTGTGCTGTTACCTCTTACATGTACCAGGAAAGAGTCCCTAGCTCAACATGCTAAAGAACCACTGGGTTCTGGTCCTGATGCCAACACATTGTTGCTATGTGGCATCTTGCAGGTTATAGAAATGGCTTAACTCCTCTTCCCTCATCTGCAAAATCAAATAGAAGTTTTGATGATGGTGACACTGGTAGTGGTGGTGGTACCTTACCCTTGGAATTAGTGTAAAAAAAAAAATAACTGCCTTAATGTCCTTAAGCACTTTGTACTTGGAAACAGTAAGTGGTCAGTAAGTTGTTACTGCTGTGTTATCATCATCTTCATCATCATAGCCATTTAGTTAATGTTAGGGTCTTCATTGCTGTGAAGAGACACCATGACTATGGTAATTCTTATAAAGAAAATATTTAATTAAGATGGTTTGCTTACAATTTCAGAAGTTTAGTCCAACCATTATCATCATGGTGGGGAGCACGGTGGCGTGCAGGCAGATGTGGTGCTGGAGCTGAGAGTGCTACATCTTGCAGGCAACAGGAAGTCAACTGACTGTCACACTGAGGGAAGCTTGAGCAAAAGAGATCTCAACCCCTGCCCCCATGGTGACACACTTCCTCCAACAAGGCCACACCTCCTAATAATGCCACTCCCTTTGTGGGCCATTTTCTTTCAAACCACCCCAGTTCAACATCATTGTTTGAATTTTCTGATGACAAAATGGCAAGTGGCTGGAAATATAACTAAAACTCAGAACACACCTCTTTACCCAAAATAAAAGCAAGGATTTCTGTTTCCCCAAATCTTGTCACCTAAAAAGTATTCAAAAGCACAATGGAATTCCCTATTCCAACTACATTCTCTCTCATGAAAATCCCTTGTGACTGACTGCACATACCACTAATATATGGGATATCAAGTTCCCTGTCTTCTTATTTCTCTGCAAATATGTCTTTTATATATTTTTAACAATTTATTTAGTTTATGCGTATCAGTGTTTTACCTGCATCTGTGTGTGTATACCTGTGCCAAGTGCCTGTGAAGGTCAGATGAGCATCAGAGCCCCTGGGACTAGACTTAAAGGTGGCTGTGACCTCATTGTGGACGCTGGGAATTACATACAGGCCCTCAGCAAGAGCATCCAGTGTTCTCAACTGCTGAGCAGTCTTTCCGCTCTCTCAAAGGTTTCTTTTCTGGGAAGTCTAATCTGTGTCTGTCTCTCTTTCTCTTTCTCTTTCTCTCTGTCTCTCTATCTCTGTCTCTCTGTCTCTTTCTCTCTGTCTCTGTCTCTCATTTTTAGACACATTTAAAACTGTCTTATCAAACTCATAGAGTATTCTTGTTGTAATTTTCACTCAAATTCTATGAAGTATAATATATAATGTAAGAAAATTATAATGTATTTTATACTCAGTTTCTCCATCCAAAAAGCTTGCCTTTCTTCTAATTTATCAACTTTTACATTTTTTTAACATTTTTTATTCCATTTAGGTAGATACTGAACATTTCTGGTTAAATTTTTTTCCAGAAGTTTTTAGATCCATTAGTTAAAAGATACCTTTCCACTAAATTTTCTAACCAGCAATTGCTAATAGGAAGTTTGATTTGTTCTTTTCTAAGGCTTATTTTAACCAATAATACAAATATGCAGTTGTCCATCCAAATATGTCCTTTCCCTTTTCTGGTACACAAGATGCTCTGCTGTGGGATGTTCTGTATGTCCTGTGGGAGCCCATTCTCGGGTTCCTTGTGGCTTTACCCAGCAGGTCCACATAGAGGATGATTAGGCCTCTGAGTGCAGGTGTCTGAGATGGTCTGCACTTGGCTGTGCTGGGGATGGTCTAAATGTCAAGTTGCTCTGATTGGTCAATAAATAAAACCTGATTGGCTGTGGCTAGGCAGGAATTATAGGCGGGACTAACAGAGAGGAGAAATAAAAGATCAGGAAGGCAGAAGGAGTCACTGCCAACCACCTGCCAGGACAAGCAGCATGTGAAAATGCCAGTAAGCCACGAGTCACGTGGCAAGGTATAGATTTGTGGAAATGGATTAATTTAAGCTATAAGAACAGTTAGCAAGAAGCCTGCTACGGCCATACAGTTTGTAAGCAATATAAGTCTCTGTGTTTACTTGGTTGGGTCTGAGTGGCTGTGGGACTGTCGGGTGATAGAGATTTGTCCTGACTGTGGGCCAGGCAGGAAAACTCTTGCTACATTGCTCACATTTCCCAGCTGACCTTGCCACTGTCCACAGCCAAGGGAATCCGATGGGATATGTGTAGAACTCAGCCACCTGCAGAACAGTCTGTGCTTCTGTCCTGGAACAGAGACTTCAGACGCATTCTCTTTAACTACAGAGTAACATTCCAGAGCTACAGTTAGCAAATTATGGCTGTGAGCCAAATCTGGCCAGTGACTTGGTTTCATACGATCCATGAGCTAAGAATGACTTTACATTTTTTAATTGTTATAAAACAAAGGATGAATGAATGAATGGGGGAAGAAGGGAGGGGAAAGAGGGAGACATATGCAAATGCACAAGGTAGACTATTTACTGTCTGGTCCATTACAGAACATGTTAACCCAGCTGTGTTCTGAAGAACAGGGAGATGGATGACAGAAGAAACCTGGAGCTGAGTCACCACCCGGAGCAGAGTGTTCTAGAATTCCTCACCACTGATCTCTGATTACATTACAGAATAAAATGAATTCCTTCTGATTCAAACTGTTATATCCAGTGTCTCATCAATGAAAGAGCTGTTAATCATCCAAACAATGAACTTTAGTTTTTCATTTGCTCTCTTGCAATTTCTGTGTTGAAATCTGTGTTATATGCAGGCAATAGTAACTTTTTCTGCCTCTCAGAAATAAATGTCTCACCTCTCCCAGGCTTCTTCAGTCTTGTGCACTATCTGGACCTTTGAGAACATTGTATATTAGCAGTAAACATCTTCTAGTTCTTTGTTCTAATGATGACTCCTTTTTTAATCTCAGTGAACTTTGGATTGTAGATTGTTTCACTTTTCAAGTTTTAACATCAGTGATTTCATTTTTATGAGAGAAATTGAAAAATCTATTCACATTTAGAAATCATACAACATAGAAAAGAATAGTGGTTTGAAGCTCTGGGAAATGTTTGCTGGAGTCACCTTGGATTTGAGGAGTGTAGGTTATTTATGTATTCATTCATTCATTCATTCATTCATTCATTCATTCATTCATTCTTCATTCATTGTGAAGTTACCTGAAAAGGGAGTCTCAGTTAAGGGATTGCCCAGATCTTATTGGTCTGTGAACATGTCTGTGCAGAACTGTCTCAATTATTAGTTGACATAGAGGGCCAAGCCTACTATGGGCTGCACCATTCTCTAGGCAGGCAGTCCTGGGTCATGTAAGAAAGCCATATCATACAAATAATTTTGTAAAATTTGTTTTGATTTCAGTATCTGTTTCTTGAGTTAGGTGTGGTAATTCATGTTTTCCTTCTTCATTTTATTTTAGCATTTAGATTGCTAGTATAAATTTATGTAATTCTATTTAAAGTATTCAATTTTCACAATATTTGATGAAATAAGCATTTTCTTAAACTATTTCTTTATCTTCTTTTATTTTAATTTTTCCTGTTATCCAAATCTTCTGGAATTTCTAATTTTTCAAATTTTTATTTTTAATTAAAATATATTTACATCATTTCACCCCTTCTCTTCCCTACAATGCCTCCTGCAGGCCCTCTATAATTTATGGAGATTTTTTTGCGCACAC